TGTGAGTTTGCCTGGGTGTCAAGGAATGACATTGACCTGGGGCATGTATACCGGGAACAGGGCTGGCTAGAAACTCAAATTTTATTTTTGGATATCCCAAATTTTTCTGTATGTCTCATCACTCACAAGTAAGAGTAGCATGGAACGTGTGTTTATAGATTTGTTTGTTTGTTTGAGAATTTCCAATATGAAATGATGGTACTATATAGGGTAGCTTATTTAGTAAACTAGGAATTGTGGAGAATTGTCCAGAGTACTACAAAGATTTAGTCCAAAAATTTATTGGAAAACAATTTCAATTACACTATTACATTATTGTCAGCTTGTCTCTTAACTTTAAAATGCACAATTCCATTGTCAGTTCTCCAATTTAGTCAATGAACCCTGTAATAGAATCCAACTATGCATAGCCTTGATCTAATATAAATAACAAAATGTTTAGGCTATACTGGTATAAAAAAATGTCCTTTTTATTTCAATGACACAAAGTAGAGTTTAGTTGTTGAACTGACAAAACAAACCTAAAATAGCTCAGTTTAGCCAAAATTTAAAATGATTTAAAAAAAAAAACTGCTGCTTACAGAAAAAAATATATATTGCTTTATTTCATACTTGGTATGGTTTTAAGGTAATTTTTTTATTTAAAAAAATTGTATGAAAATAACAAAATTTCAAGGATATAGCTTCTAGAACACTATCTAACCAGAAGGCATGCATTAGGAAACATCTAGTTCGCAAAAGAAACACACTGTGCTGACAGCTGCTGAGCATTGCATCCCATTTTTCTCTGTATGTAAAAAAAGAACTTATGCACCTATTATGGAAATCATTTCATTTCTAAGAGGTGTCTTCATCTCAGACCACAATAGGCATTTACACTAACAAATATACAGTTATATGCCTTTAAGGATGACTTTGTTCTACAACTGTTGGTTGGTGCTGGAACTTTACACGAATGTATTCATGTATACATTATATGTAGAAATTATCATTTATGTTAGACCTGTCATTAACAATAATGTACATTCGTACATGGAAAATGAGTTGTACGAAGTTTTGAACCATGTTTACGAATTAGGGGTTACACTTTCTGAATGAAATTTATACTTCCTACTTCAGTTTGATTCTGCTTTAAAGATCACAATTTTCCTTGTATCTATGGCTCTTGACTTATTTTTACTCTCGTTCACAATGTGATTTCTTGAAATCTTATTAACTTACTTGCCCAGAGTTTCAACGAATTTGATTGCCCTATACTGCAAAGATTTCTTTCAGTCTTGACTGGGATTACTTGGTAATGTCTTTTTCTGTATCTCTTTCTCCCAAATCCTGGTGTTGTGTGTAACAGTCACCTGTATTCTGTAGTAAATAAAGAGTGAAAACCCTGCATTTCAACAAATATTAATTGACTTACCAGAATTTTACAAGATACGTACAATTACAGGGCAAACATAACACATTTTTTTGGCCCCTTACTAAAATAAATGTTTTATCAGTGTTAGAAAGAACAGATTTTTAAAAATACAACTTGCTTAAAGGGGTGCTAACTTGACTGCTATGTAGATTCTAAACTGATCCTCACAGAGTTACTTTGTCTTCAATAGCTAATGTGACGTTTGATTTCCTGCAATTAATTTGTTATTTTAGGAGAACCCTTCCACCCTTCCACCTGAAGTCAGTAGATAGTCAACACATTGTTAAACACAGATCTGCACACACCAGTCAAGTCATTAGACTTGCTTTCCCCACAGAAATCTCAAAGTTGCAGTGATATTACGACTGCAAGGCATTCTGGGTGGGCATATGCACATGAGTTCAACATTATTCCATATTAACCCCTTAAGGACACATGACATGTGTGACATGTCATGATTCCCTTTTATTCCAGAAGTTTGGTCTTTAAGGGGATAAACATAGATTCCTGAGTTGTGTTTCAAAGATGTTGTACACAGCAAAAATAAACGTCACTGCAAATGTAAGCTATCTGTGGGAAAAGCAAATCTTATGTCTTGACTGTTGTGTGCAGGTCTGTGTTTAACAATTTGTTATTTTAGCATATAATTGGATAAACTTGGCATAATTGCCTAGGCATATATGTACAGATCTAGATTTTTAGGTTCTGTACACAAAAAAGATAGAGGTGGAAACACCTTTAACATGATATAAATATTTAATTCTGTTGAAGGAACACTGTATATATAGAAGTAAAAATTGAAGTGAAAATCATATTTACCTGAGGTTTTTTTTCAGCCTGCAGACTGAGTCAGCTGTCTCATTCAATCTCATTCAAAGCTACATTTTGAATGTGACAGTTGTCTCGAAGTAATGCATGTCCCTTTAAGGACATCAAAATACCCCTCCCCCATTTGATCATCTTAGTAGCTGCATATTTTCCCTTTGGGATGTATCCGTCTATGGATCTGTATTTGATTGGTGTGTAGCCCTAAAATCCCGTTATCTCTAGTTTTGACATCTAGAGGCCAGTTATACCTTATTTGTGAGAGCGAGGTTGATGAGATATGAAATATAGATACATGTGCTTCTCTGTAGCTCGATCTCAAAAACAAGAAACATCCCTTTCCATGCACACCAGCACACATTTTTGGGCGACTTACCCCCCCGTTTATATGGATTCTTCTCCCTTTCTAGAACTGGGATCATACATATCTGCTTGTTAGATGCATGCATATTTTTGACAAATTAATGTATCTCCAGAATAATAGTTTCAGTTAAAAAAAATAAATGTTTGTTACAGAAGCTGTTAATATGCAGTGTAATAATAATATACAATTTGTGCTCTGTTTATTTAAATAATAGTGCCGCTTTGTTTAAGACTTGTTTTTGTTGCTGTTGTTTAATAAATGTAAGCTATAGTACCCTAAAGTCTAACAATTCTAAAATTCCTTGGTGTACAAAAGTTCTCTCTCATGAAATGTGTGTTCTGTCAGTTTACTAATGGCAGTAATTAGAATCCTGTCTTCTGATAACAATTATACTGTTAATCTTGGGGCAGGTTACTATAGGAAATTGTAATCTGTTCTATTTTTTCGCAATCGTTTCACAGCTATAGAAATTCTGTTTTTAATTGCTCTCATTTAGAGTTACATTTATTTATTTGTTAATAAAACAATAGTAATTTTAGAACAGTTTTTCACAGTTATGAGTTTAATTGGCATGATGGTAAATGTTCTTAATGTACGTTAACGTTAAACAATTAGGGGATTTAAAAAATAATATTAATTAGAATAAAAAGAAAATGAGAGTTCTATAACATATATTTTTTCAAGCAGAATCAGAAGTTTGACAAGAATTGGGTTATTTAAAAAAATAATATATATATATATATATATATATATAATTAGTCCATGAGGGACTGAAATAAAAGGCCATGAGGGATGGAAACGTTGACCTTAATAGTGCTACTTTTACACAATAACAGAATATTGATTGCACAAAATGTGAAGTTCTCTGAGTGCACTTTCCTGAGAAAGTATACTTTGGCTTCAAGTCTGCACCGAGGCATGTACAAGATGGGAGAGTGCATGCGGGACCCACACTGGACATATACATATATATAAAACGAACTTTGCAGACGAAAAACACAATTTCCCAAGATGAAGAATATGGAATAAAATGTCACATAAAGTGTATAAAACATGTTAGTAAAATATTATGTTAAACTTAAATTCACAATTTGTCTGCACTTTTCTTGCTGACTTTATGACTATAATATAGTGCCACGAGTTTGGTCACGTTGTCTTCAGGATGGCCACACTCATTTGCACATGCATTACTGCACACAGTCAATTAGTGCAATGATAAGAAATACAGTTGTTGAAGTTTTAGATGGCATACTTCCTACTCTGATGACACTTTGTAACTGAAAATATCATAAACATCATGTTCTGCTGGCAAAGGTTCTTAAAGGTTAGTTCACTAACAGAGGTAGGTCTTAGTAGCAATAAACTAGGGCATATCATGACTCTGGTCAGGACAACCAGGAGAACATGCTTTTGGTTGAATTTTTGCTGGCCTCCCAACAGCCATGATTTTGCGTTCCTGTCCCACCATCCCTCTTTTTCTCCCTGATGTCCAACAATGGTCTTGGGGCAGCATTGCGAGAATATTATTACACAAGCTCATGCTGTACAGCAGGCACTGTGACCATGCAGAGAGGGTTTCAGCAACACTCCCTGCATGGTCCTGAAAGTGCTGGGCTGGCCAGGCAGACTGTCAGTGCATTGACCCACCCCTTTCTAGTGACACGGGTCACGTCACTGACAATGCTTTTCAGGACCTCGCCCCAACCCAACCCATCCCAATTCCCCCATCCAGATTGTTGGGATGTATGCAAAACTGTGTTTATAAACTTCTGGTTACTGGGAGCCTCTTTTTTCCCAAATGTTTTATTGCAAATTTTGTTGTGGATGTATCTTTTTTATGTAACAAGTAGAATGTTTAAAATAAAAATAAATTATTTGAGACCAAATTAGCTACATTTTAAATAAAAAAGAGTTTTTCCAATTCATCTACTCCAATGGTTTTTAATTTGCTGTTTATTGAATGAACCCCTTAGTAATTTTACATTTTTATTAGCATGTATTAAAAACAAGAGTGTGTGTGTGTGTGTATATTTGTGAGTGTATGCCGATCTTTTTATGATGTATAAATAATTATGAACAATGCCGACTTGTGCTGTCTAATATAAAGAAAGGGGAAGTCCTATCATTGAACAATTGTCACACCTATATTTTTATAGTACTTTTTTCAGTACTAGTAACAACGTGTCAATATAATCCACATAGTACACAACACAGAGTATAGAGTAACCGTTTTTCTGTTTACTTTGATTTCCTTGAATTAGGACTGAAAAGCAAATCACGTGGCAGCATGTGCAGATTCAATGTGGATGGTATGGTTAAAACTTGATATTATAACTAGTGATGTCCCGAACTGTTCGCCGAACAGTTTGCCGCGAAGGGTTCGCCACGGACTCCAGTCAGCAGACACATTCCAGCCAATCAGCAGCAGACCCTCCCTCCCAGTCCCTCCCAGCTCCTGGACAGCTCACTAAGAATGCAGCTGTCCAGGAGGTGGGAGGGTCTGGGAAGGAGGGTCTGCTGCTGATTGGCTGGAATGTGTCTGCTCACCGGAGTTCCTGGCGAACCGTTCGTGGAGAACCGTTCGCAAACAGTTCGTGGCGAACCGTTCGCGAACAGTTCGGCGAACAGTTCGGCGAACAGTTCGGGACATCACTAATTATAACACTAATAACACATTTAAATTTGACTTTCTAAGAGTTAATCTTTATTATTTTGTGTAATCATTAAAAAGCTGATCTGACTAATCTCTACCGCTGCATTTTTGTAAATATATTTATTTTATTTTACTTCTAAAAGTAAGTCATCAAAGTAACACCAAGCTTGTTTCGTCCAAGTATAAAGCACAGCGTACTCTTAGGGATTAATATGCATTAAATACGTTTGAGAAGTCTTAGATCTTACCTGCAGTGAATTATTGAAATACCTTTAATTACACTCCCACGCCACCAAGTTAGGTACTTCACAGTGATTGATTACTCAAGCCAGGTCTAAAGGTATTCTTGAAACAAGGATACCATAAAATGAATAGTTGCTTCCTCTGTTAAAGTTATCTTTGCTAATTAGTATGAAGATACACTCTGTAGGCCAGTATCAGAAATCAATGGATTAAAATGCATCAGTATTTCTATCAGTACATCAATAAGGGATTATGACATGCACATACACATATATGTTCTAAATCTTGACATCAGACGACATCTGCTGTCTTTCTTTCCATATCTCTAACCATTTCTCTGGAAAGAAGTATAAGCACAAAGCTGTTTCCACCAGTCCTGTCCATTGGTCCATGAGCAATACTTTGCTTCCTTTGCTATGTGATTAAAAATGTGATTAAAAGGAGGTGGGTTGAGGAAACTTCATATACAGAACAACACAACTATGGAAAAACTTCTAGAAAATCTTCCACAAGTTTGATGTCTCTGAAAACTCTGTAGATGTAATGCGTTTTTTGCTTTAATGATTAATTGCCGTGGATATGGCGATTATTGGAAAATTCAACGTACGTATAAAAAGAGTTTAAAATGTAACTATTGTATATCCTCTAATTATCTCTAACAGAAAATTGGGAAAAAGTTCAGAACTGTGCAGACTGTGGCTGGTTTCTACTAGTCTTTGGTCCTTTTTCATCACAACCCATGGTGCAATTCAAAAGGCATTAAAGAAGTGCTCCTTCACTGAAGATGCCTGCAGAAATGCAGGGTGGAGTTCTTAAAAAAATGCATGTCTGTGCTTATTTGCATATTGAGCTTGGAATTCTGTGAGAATTGTGAAAACATAATTTCTTTGATTACTGTGAACGTTTCCCTTAGCCCTAAGTGGGGAATGTAGAATGCCAGCGCACATTTTGAATCTGCATAAAGTAGTAGGGAGTTTTGTCATGTTTGGTCTCATCATAACCTGTTTGGTACATATTTAATATTATGCTGCTGTTTGACGTAAAAAAAAAGGAAATACAATTTATGAAAAACTAGGAAAGTGTTTTCCATGTGAACCAATATAAAAAAATATTTTTTTTTATTCAGACATGACCTATTTTAATAGTCTTTGATCCATAAAGTGATCAGGGTTTTCATCCGGCTTAGAAAAATAAAATAAGCAAAATAAGAAATGAAAAGCCACACATCCAGGTTCCCAATGTAAATGAATGTGTAACTGGAAAGCAGAACATGATCAAACAGGCGTTTGCAGCTAGCACTAGAAGTAGTGTTAATTGAGATGAAAAGCTACGGCTTTGGAGCTCCTGACATAAAAATCAACATCTACTTTCTTCCAGCAAGCATGGGGAGTTATTTGTGAATTTATAAATAAAAGAAAGCGAGAGGAGTGTCAGAGAATTCCATAGAAATCAACATGTTTTTGTTTTGTGCAATTCACCGAAAATGCACCGTTAGTTTTTGTGTAATTTGAATTACAAAAAAACAACTAACTTGTGAATTTTAATTGATCCTGCCATGCCTATTCTGTTCAGTTCTTGTTAATGTCGTTAATGTTGGAATACGGTGATTATAAAACTTGTGTTGCTTAGTGAATAGGAAAAGACAATGCTTGTCAAAGTATTTGTTCAAAATGTTTCAGTCATCTAACTTTTACCTCTAACCAGTGAAAGATCATAAGCAGGAACATGAAACAATTTATGAAAAAGTCTTCCTAACATGTAAACAGAGATCCTGCCACTTGGAGGACTTATGTTAAGGTTTGGTGTGATTGGGTTCAGGTCTCCAGGGGTGAGAATGGATTTGCTGATGGTCATAGTTGTGTGCTAGCTACTATGTCCTTTTTGTTTCTCTTTTGGTCCCAGAGTATGTCATCTTCCACCATTGAGTATAGCCTGTCTAAGCTTTCATTTTTCTTTCTGAGTTTTGATTGGGAGGATATTTCTAGGGCATTTCTGATTTAGCTAATGGCTAGTGGTGGCAGATTTAGCTCTTGTTTTTTGTTCGGTAGACTTAGTAAGGGCAATTAAGATGGATCTGGCTAGGATATTCACGTTGTTTTCCCAGGTTGCATTGGTTTGGTCTGAGGTTATTCCACATCCCGCTGTAATTTAAGGGCCTTGGAGAATGCTAAGTGCAAGCTGAATTAAACAGTGTTACAGTTTGGTGGAGAATGTGGACCTCATGAGATTCAACGGGGTTCATCCTAACAACATTGGCTTTGACATGTTGCAGATGGAAATAGAGATGGTGCTGTCTACAGAGGGACACAGCCTAGTCCTGTCAGGGTGCAGGCAGGCTGCAGTGGAAGAAGTTTATCCTGGCCAGTGCCTGGAGTAACGAGTTAGAGGTGATTTCTGCCATGGGAGGTGAACAGGAACCAACCTTTTGTTTGAGAAACCTACTGGAGGCCAGTGCCCTCCAGCCTGCAGTGGTTTCAGGGCTCGAGTCCTGCAGGAACGCGTGGGAACGGCGTTCCTGCACTTTTTTCACAGCAGGAACGCCGTTCCCCCTGCAGGCACTCAGGGGGCGGCAAAAAATGCCGCCCCCAAATGCCCCCCCTTGTTTCCCCTGTCATGGGGGGGCAACCTGATGGATTGCCCCCCGGTGAACGGCTCTCTTCCTGTCACACGCGGAGAGGGAGCTGTGTGCTCTCTGCTCCCTCTCGCCGCGCGGGATGTCTGCTGATGCTGGGAGCCGGGTTGATGACGTCATATTCCGGCTCCCAGCAGCAGCAGACATCCCGCGCGGCGAGAGGGAGCAGAGAGCACACAGCTCCCTCTCCGCGTGTGACAGGGAGAGAGCCGTCCTCACTGCAGCCCCACTGGACCCCAGGGAAAGGTAGGGATGCTGGGTGGGTGGGATATGTTAATTTTTTTATAATATTATTAAGTTGTATATATGTATGTCTGTGTGTGGATGTGTGGATGTCTGTTTGTGGATGTGTGGATGTCTGTTAGTGGATGTGTGGATGTCTGTTTGTGGATTTGTGGATGTCTGTTTGTGGATGTGTGGATGTGGATGTGTGGATGTCTGTTTGTGGATGTGTGGATGTCTGTTTGTGGATTTGTGGATGTCTGTAGATTTGTGGATGTCTGTTTGTGGATATGTGGATGTCTGTTTGTGGATTTGTGGATGTCTGTTTGTGGATGTGTGGATGTGGATGTGTGGATGTGTGGATGTGGATGTGTGGATGTCTGTTTGTGGATGTGTGGATGTCTGTTTGTGGATGTGTGGATGTCTGTTTGTGGATGTCTGTTTGTGGATGTCTGTGTATGTGTGGATGTCTGTTTGTGGATGTCTGTTTGTGGATGTCTGTTTGTGTATGTGTGGATGTCTGTTTGTGGATGTGTGGATGTCTGTTTGTGGATGTGTGGATGTCTGTTTGTGGATGTGTGGATGTCTGTGGATGTGTGTTTGTCGATGTGTGGATGTCTGTTTGTGGATGTGTGGATGTCTGTTTGTGGATGTGTGTTTGTGGATGTGTGTTTGTGGATGTGTGTTGGTGGATGTCTGTGGATGTCTGTTTGTGGATGTCTGTTTGTGGATGTGTGGATGTCTATTTGTGGATGTGTGGATGTCTGTGTATGTGTGGATGTCTGTTTGTGGATGTCTATTTGTGGATGTGTGGATGTCTGTGGATGTGTGGATGTCTGTGTATGTGTGGATGTCTGTTTGTGGATGTGTGGATGTCTGTGTGTGGATGTCTGTTTGCTGTATGTCTGTTTTGTGGATGTGTGGATGTCTGTTTATGGATGTCTGTTTGTGGATGTATGTATGTCTGTTTGTGGATGTGTGGATGTCTGTTTGTGGGATGTGTGGATGTCTGTTTGTGGATGTGTGTTTGTGGATGTGGTTTGTGGATGTGTGTTGGTGATGTCTGTGGATGTCTGTTTGTGGATGTGTGGATGTCTGTTTGTGGATGTGTGGATGTCTGTTTGTGGATGTGTGGATGTCTGTTTGTGGATGTCTGTTTGTGGATGTATGATGTCTGTGTGTGGATGTGTGGATGTCTGTTTGTGGATGTCTGTGTGTGGATGTGTGGATGTCTGTGATTTGTGGATGTCTGTTTGTGGATTTGTGGATGTCTGTTTGTGGATGTGTGGATGTCTGTTTGTGGATGTCTGTTTGTGGATGTATGTATGTCTGTTTGTGGATGTGTGGATGTCTGTTTGTGGATTTGTGGATGTCTGTTTGTGGATGTGTGGATGTAGATGTGTGGATGTCTGTTTGTGGATTTGTGGATGTCTGTAGATTTGTGGATGTCTGTTTGTGGATTGTGGTCTGTTTGTGGATGTCTGTTTGTGGATGTGTGGATGTGGATGTCTGTTTGTGGATGTGTGGATGTGGATGTGTGGATGTCTGTGGATGTGTGGATGTCTGTTTGTGGATGTCTGTTTGTGGATGTCTGTGTATGTGTGGATGTCTGTTTGTGGATGTGTGGATGTCTGTGGATGTGTGGATGTCTGTGGATGTGTGTTTGTGGATGTGTGTTGGTGGATGTCTGTTTGTGGATGTCTGTTTGTGGATGTCTGTTTGTGGATGTCTGTTAGTGGATGTCTGTCTGTGGATGTCTGTTTGTGGATGTGTGGATGCCTGTTTGTGGATGTCT